TTATATAATATAATTACGCAGAAGGCTCCACTTTCAGATACATATCCAGATGTCTTTCTTTTACGATTTGCTACCCAAGTATAAGTATCTAATATATGTCACATATACCTGGGTGCATACTAGTATTAGGATATTCTTCTTCCAGTATTTTATATAATAGATTCTGAAGAAGGATACCCTAGACGTCATATCATACCCGAATATATACTAGTGTCAAGATATTCTTCTGCCAATATTTTATATAATAAATTATGCAGAAGAATACCTTAAGTGTCACCTATTAAAAATGTATTTATCTGCGATTTTCTTACCAACTTGCTATACATCTCTTTTTTATCTATCGAAAAATTATTTTAAACATTTCGAAAATATATTGGAGTATATAAAGTTTTACTTACTGTCAACATGCATACTTCAACTAATTTTGACCAAACTGATCGCACTGGAACTGGCCCCCTCACCTGCTACGACGGCGCTGAGACTGATGAATATTTAAGTGACTCAAGCAGTTATACTGATAATGGATTTAAATTAGGATCAGATGATTATAATAACTACGAGTCTAATTATAAGTCGGATAACGAAGAAGCTCACTGCACCTCAACCAGCATTACTGAGTCTCCATCAGTTCGGCTACCAAATGTAGAAGAGCAAAAGGCTAATGCGACATACACTTTAAGACAAGAAAAGTTCAATAATAATTTCACTCCCAAGGACTTGCTAAATAGTATTCAGAAAATTCTTTTATCGCCACCTAGAGATATGTCAAATGATAAGGCTTATTAGATTGCCTTCCAATTTATTCATTCCTCTTTCCGAATGAAAAAGGCCCTAGCCTATATAATGCTTATGACCGGGATAAGGTTGAAAATAAATTGGTTATCAAAATCGATCAAGACGATCGAGCCCCAAAGTTTTCTGTTGCAGACGATATTTCTGAAGTATACGGTTTGCCTGGTATTCATGAATGTATTAACGGTCAAAAACCTTTAAGAGCCGTAATTGATATAGATGCTTCGCAAGAAGATATGGAAACAACTAGTGTTAAGGCACAAGAAGTATTCATTCAAATCTGCCTATCTTTTATAAGAGCCTTGTATCGAATTCTCGACTATAGTTGGGAAAATATTCTCAATGGGTTAGTTATTGCTACATCTTCAGATTCTAGCAAGTGTAGCTACCATATTTTATATGCACCGGCTCTCCTTATCGACCATCATGAACTCAAAGCATTCTTAGAATTAGTATATACCTTAACTGGGAAAAAATTTGGCAAGTTCATTGATCAGAAATTACCTGGTCACAACTTCAATCTTCGCCTTATTGGTTCAGCAAAAAAAGGTCGCGTAAAGCATATCCTTCAATTCTCACTAGATAATAGATGGAATGAGCTCGATCATACTAGAGTTCAATCACCTACTAGCTTAGGTCTCAAAGTAAGACCCCGTGTACTTAGTGTGGAAAAAAATAATAATCCACTAAGAATAACCATAAGTCAGGATATATTGCAAAAATTCGCAGACATAGTTTTGCAGAAGTATCCTAACTATCTTAGAGATTGGATTATCGAAGAAAAAGATTCACAGAACTTCATATATTTCAACTGGAAAGCTCTACTAGAATGCCCACTTTGCAAACATATACATGACAAGGATCAGCGGTAGTTTGGTCGTGTATATGCCAGCAGTAGAACATTTATTGTAAAATGCTTTCGGCAAGGTAGTGATGAACCCGGTGAAGTTTTTGAATGTGACCCATATATTACAGAAAAAATTAGACAAAAAAATAAAAATTTATCACAACCTTCTTACAAGGTAAAAGGCCCGGGCTTCCCAAGAGCTTTTGTAAAAATGCCATCTTGGGTCAAATATAGTGAGACCCTTACGGCTACAGAAATATATAAAGAGAGATATGTAAAACCATTATCTAATAAAGGCAATATTTATGTGGGATCACCTTGGGAAACGGGAAAAACCTATATTCTTGAAAATTTGGCTATCCCTAATGATATAAATTTGCTAGTATTATCTACGCGCTACTCTTACTCAAATGCTATTACTACAAGACTTAATCTTAAGTCATATTGCGATATCGATGGTAATATAAATCTACCCGATCACAAAAGAGTAGTTTGCCAAATAGAGAGTTTACATTGTATTACTAACAATTGCAAATGCAATAAAAAATATAAATGTTCCCTGAGCCAATACGATTTATGGCTTGATGAAATAGTATCAATAATTGCTCAAGCACAAAGTCGTTTGGCGGGGCAATTAATAGAAAAATTATATAAATTAATCCAAGAGGCTAGACGCATTATTGTTATGGATAATGACCTAATGGACCTCAACATTGAATAGATTAAGGCCTTTCGTAGGGATATACCTTTTTCTATTATTCATAATACTTACCAGCCTCAGAAAGGTAAGACATTCCGCTTGGCTCCTAATAAAGAAACTGTATTAACCGAACTTTGGAACTGGGCCAAGAGGATGTCTTCACTAACTTTTGAGAATCGGAAAAGCACATCGCTCATCTGTCACCTTAGAAAAGATGTGCAAGGAATTGTTCGTGCTCTCAAGACTGATTTTCCAGAATTGAGGGTCAAGGAATATCATGGTAAATCTGATCCTGAGGAAAAAGCACATGATTTTAGCGATGTAGAAAAATCGTGGAAAGATGTAGACTTAGTTGCATATACTAGCACTTTAAAAATAGGAGTTTCATGTACCAATCCTAAGTTTGAGCGAGCGTTTTGCCTCTTCAATAGCTATATAGAAACAAACGCTAAAACGAATCAGATGTTATTCCGTATGCAGTGCATTAAAAATTATATATCCCACATCGAACAAAGATCCTCTAATGTTCCTGTCACAGAGAGAGGATTATTTCAATGATTACTAAGTGCCAAACGTGAATGCCTTTCCCAAGAACTTCAGAATAGAGAAATTTTTCCAGATGTAGATTCTATTATTTGGAATAAGGATGTACCAACTATTCGATTGTGGGTGGCCTATATGTTAGAACAATTTCGATCTTATCGTTTATTTGGTTGGAGAATGGTTGATTTTCTCTAAAAAATGGGTATGGTAATTTCTATTAGAGAACCTATTCCTAAACCTAAAAATAATATGATATCGTTATCCCATACAGTAAAGATGAATTCATCTATCATTAAAGCAGAAGAAATTTCAGATATAGCAAATGCCCGTATTCTTGATCATGAGATAGCTGAAGTTTTGAAAAATAAGCCGAAGAAGGCTTTAGGAGAAATGCGATCTTTAGACCGGCACCATATTGTAGAATGTTATGAAATCCCACCTGAAACATTGACTGAAGATTTTATCTCGAAGTATGGGAATTATAATCACATGAAGTGGTTTAGAGCTTATAGACAATTATGGAATGCTGGCACTAACAATGAAGTAGCAGTTGAGGCTATTACTCACAAAGATTATAGAGAAAATAAACTAATTGTAGCTACTCAAGCTGAGAAACATTGAATTTGTCTGGAATTACCAAAAACCTGTACGCCTGTTAGAGATGTCGATAATAGAGCAAGATATAAAGCTAATGATGTCAAAACTCACCTGAATTCTCCTGAATCAATATCATATCTCCAGGATTTAGTACCCAAAATGGCTCGAGTTTTTGATAATACAGATGCGTCACGTAGGATTAAAAAATCAGAATTAAAAACAGTTTGAGCGAAACTTGGTTTACTAAATTTAGCGACATATGGGTTGAAATTTAAGGCTGTAGATAAGCATAGGAGACATTACTATCTAGTTGGATCATTTGATAACAATGACGCCTCTGAGTTACCTCCATACCAAACAGGAGAAGAAATTTATTAGGAAAATGGAGAAGATACTCGGTATGGGTATAGTAAACTCTTACCCGATGAGTTGATAATAGAAAATCTTTTGGAGAATAAACAAACCAAAGATACTCCTGGTTCTAATGTGAATACTATGCCAACTGCAGAAGATATTCAAGATTTATTTAATATCACGTAGGTAGAGAAGTGTTGTAAAGCAGTATGAATATAATACTAAAGTTTACAGGATCTGGTCATACATATTTTAAGATGGAGCCTTCTGCCATTATTTTATATAATATTTCTGCAGAAGGCTCTATTCCAGAAATATGCCTAATGCACTTTATTTATATATCAAAAATAGTACTATTTGACTTAATTATATAAATAAAATAATATTTTTTGCTTACTTTTCGGATTGAAGGGCCTCGACTTCATACTTTTGCCTCATTCGATAATTGAGCGAATGAAATCTGGCAAAATATTTAGGACAACATCCCGTAATAGAAACAGTAGGTATTCCACAAACAAAGCAAGGCTTTTTTTTTATATTTTTTCATATAATACCCAGTGCTTTGTACAGCCAGTAGTACGAGTGCAGACTCTCCCGCAAATGGAGCCATCTCTTTTGATATACTGACAAGTAATACAATCCATGCAAGTATTTAGGATATAAAAACCTTTTCACTTTTTAATGCGGATTAATTTCATAGTAAAATGTGTATTTAAATTATTCGGTATTAAGATAAGACATAAACGTCTTTTCATACTTACGCTATGGATACATTAAATCAACCGATAAATAAAGTTTGCGAAAAAATCTATAATCCCAAAACTAATCGCATGATTATTATAAATGGTCAACGAATAATAAATTGCTACGTGAAGGCTATATGCATTGGAAAGAGAAAGAACTCTTGATTCCACCATTCAATGAAATGCCAAGAAATATCAGGGTTTGCTATCATGTTTATAATATCTTGCTGAATCTCGAGTTTCACTATCTTCAGTAATTGGCGAAGAGGAAATAAATAATATATAAGGAATTTATATATTAGAAATTATTAACTTATAATATATCTATCTAAAATTAATTATCTAAATTTAGTTATTTTTTCAGTTATAATATATATCATTAAATACAGTAGCTACTGTGTAGTTGCTTCCAGCAATATTTGACATGGTTTTCATAAAAACAATCATAGAGGGAAAAATCTCAGTAAAAGCATTAATCGATACAACATCTAAATCCAATACTATTAGCAAGCGTGTGTATAATAAGCTTGAAGAAGATTATGGGTTAGAAGGAATATCTGGTGATGATTTGATAGGCAAAGAAATAAAATGCTTAGATTTGCAATTTCGGTATAAAGGAAAATGGCGAAGCTTAGATGGTACCGAAGTAATAAATTTTCAAATTCACAAAAATCCATCATTTGATTTGGTGCTAGGACGGGATTAGTTATAGATACGCGAAGCAAAAATTAGCTTTGGATTTTCTCTGGAAAATTGTAAGCGCTATGCTAAAATTGAGATAGATGATATGAGTATCTCATTAATAGAAGAAGATAGCAGACCTACAGGCGACTCTTCAAGCCATAAAGCCAGCTCCACTAAAAATAACTTATCTATTGCAGAGCAGGCCGTATTGTGGAACAATGGCACTTATGTGCCTAGGCGATTCTCTGAATCATGGGACTTTGTCCCTAAATCAACAGAATCTGAATCTGGTCTTGCTCAAGAGGAGGTTATAAATATAATTAACAAAATTCTCTCAAATACTGAAGATAGACTTGAAGAGTCATTGTTTTGTAATAATAAGCAATGAAAGAAATGTCATGGAATATTTCACAACAAATCTGAAACAGAGACTGATTCATCCAGCTCCGATTCAGAATCCACGGATTCAGACTGGTATAATCTCGACCCAATAAAACCCTAAAAGAAGAGGCAAAGCCTCGAATATCCAATTCATCGTGTTTATGTTAAAAAGAAAAAGGTTGTTTCTCCTATCTGAAAACATCGTAAAAATAAGCATACCAACTGTTGCTACAAATGAGTTATTAAAAATCAACTGGAATGGAGAAGAAATATACTTATAAAATTCCTCCATCACCCGAATTTAGCTTCTTCGAAACATAGACCAGGTGCTTTATATAATGCATTTACTGAGGCAAATGTTTTAGAACCAAAATATATATTAGCTCTAGTGTGAGCACTTTATTAAAATATAATCACAAAATAGGACTTAGACCTTAAGTTTGTTTATAGC